AAAGTCAAATAAATATAAATAAAAATACATTTATTAATTTATATATATATATAAATAGATATAAATTCATATGCATATGAGCTGTCGCAAATAATGGGAATGAAAATTCTCATTCAGTACGCCAATGAACATGAAAAAGGTCGACCTCCAGAGTGTCGTGGCAATATGTCGGGACAATTCACATAGCCAAGGCAAGGGAAAAATGTCAGATACGTTGTCCGTGGTTAACCAAAAGCAGTTGCCATGGGGTTAAATGGGTTAACCTCCATGCAAAAATGGCTGTAAAAACACAATGCGAGAAAAAAAGAAGGAAAATAGCAGAGAAAAGCTAAGAGAGTAGATGAGGTAGGTGCCGCTGCCAGGCGACGACGAGTATATTTGGCATATTAAAACAAAAGGATGCCGTGTGCTTGGCAAATAGACAAAGGGATTCACACATACACACTCACACACACACAGATGGAAGTCGCCAAATCAAGCGTTGATTTATGAGCAGTCAAAGGAGCCTAGAGGAAAAAAAGCGGAGAAAACTAACAAGGCGCAGATATTAACACCCTTGTAAAACTGTAAAACCGCCGTGAAAAATATGCAGAATAGAGACAGCTAGACAGACAGAGTGAAAGATAGAGAGAGAGAGAAAGAGAGAGTCTACAAATCAAATTGCAGAGACCAAGTAGAACCCGTTCCCCCTAGCCGGCAGCTATTAGTTGCGCCACTCGGCGACGGCCACATACCCAGGCATGGTGATAATTTATTTATTTGAGATTATTTATTGCACATACATCATAATTTTGTGCCTCTGACGGCAACGCCCAAGCTCTAGGCGTTAGAGGGGTGGGGGGCAGGCAGGGGGTGAAATATTTTATTACGACTTGTAGGTACGAGAAGATGTATTCCTTTTTCTAATTCTCTTCCCATTTTTTTTTTGTCATTGTCATATCCCAGCGATAAGCGTATGGCTCAAGGATTTGGCGAGCAGCCGTAGAAGAAATATAACTTATAACAATGAAGGATGAGCCATAAATTAAAAATTCCAAACTTCAAAAAACGTAACAATAAAATACACGATACAACAGCAACAACAACAACAACAACAGCAAACGGGACATGCAGTTGATTTATTTCAAAAGCGAGAATCCTTGGGATGTCCCAATAATACCCAGCACAGCCATCGATACCAGCCAAGGTGCGCTGCTCAAAGAGACGGAAGTATTTATTTCATAATCGTTATGAAGTAATGAACGAAAAAAATACAGCCCAAGATGTAAGATTGGGCCTGGCCAACAGTAGGAATCATTCATATGGAATATCCTTGAAAAGTCAAATATTCTATATATATGTTTGTAATAATATCTAATTTTTATTTGCATTGTTTATATCTATTAATTTAAAAAAAAATTTATTATGTATCTACTTTTTAATTTAAATATCATTTTAATGATTTTGAAATTTTCTTAACTGATAACACAAAGAAACAGTCTTTCACAAGGATATCCTGAAATAGCTTTACAGCTCTCAACGTGGGTCTAGTGTAAATGATTGAGCAACGACGCAGATAAAAATAGGAAAGAAATAAAAGCCGAAAAGACATGAAAAAAAGCAAAAGAAAACGAAATACATGGCGCATATTAAATTCTTATAAAAATCAGCGCGCAGGATACGCGACGGTAATGCGCGATTCGAGGACATGTGGTAGGGGCCAGGGGACTAGGGACTAGCGAGTACGTCCCACAGACCAGGGTGCTATTGTTATAGCTACTTTTATGATGGCATTGTCTGCCCCTCGCCAGTGCCGCGGCTCCTGCTAGAGCTCCTGCTGATGCGATATTAAAAAACTTGTTGCTAATAAAAAGATGTGTGAATATGGATGCACGAACACGCCTGTCAAAGCAGTTGATCATGATGATGACATCAATGACATTTGTTGCGGCTCAATAAATTCGCAAGCGTTTCGAAAATAATATGTGTGCTCGTGCACTTAGAGAATGTCTGGATAGATTATATAGTTCAGTAATATTTGAAATTCATTAACGTTTGGTAGAGGCATTCGCATTTCGGTTGAAATGAGTTCAACAAATTGTTTTTAATTTTGAAAATAGAATTGGTAAGTGAATATTGTTTTAATTATTTATTTATAATGAATATTACAAATTAAAAAAAAATTTTTGTTTTTAAAACTTCTTTTAAAATTTTTTATTTATGCCAGAATTGAGGAATAAAAATATATTTGTTTTTAGCATTTTTCTAGTATTTTTCTATATTCATTAATTTTAAGACTTAGTTTGATTCATGATAAATTTTGTATTATTTATGAAGATTATTTGTTTTCAAATTTTTTATTTTTCAAAGAGCTTTCTAAATAAGGTATCTTGGGGATAACATGTTATATAATATATAAGTTTATTATTATATTATTATATTTTTATTATATATGATATTTTTATAAGTATTATTTTATATTATATTTTTATAAGTAAATTCTTGAATTTTACTTTGTATAACAAATAATAAAATATATATTTAAAATGCTTATTTAGTAGATTAATTTTCTCTCTTATTTTCTTAAGAATTTTATACGTTTATATAGTAAATGAATTTAAATTAAAGCCAAATAAGAAATTTAGAATATTTTATTTTGTAGTTGCACATCCATATTGTATTTTGTAATTAATATTTATTTCTCTCAGTGTATATTTATGGCTCGTATGTAGCACCTAAGTAGGCTGAGCCTCAGTGCGCATTTAATTGTTATATGGTTGGCTGCATGGCAATTGTCAACACGAATCGCTTCTCATTCAGTCAGCGCAAGGGAAACATGGCTTTCGGTTTGGGGTTTTGATTTAGTCTCTCTTTCCATCTCTAACTCCCTCTCTCTCTCTCTCTCTCTTACGCTATTGCACTCGGCTGTAAGGCTACGCTAGGGGTGTTGTTTAGCTGCCGGATAATCCGTTGCATGTTGCCGTTGCGCCGTTTTTGATTAAAATGACATGACAAACCCATGCATACCCTTTAGCGTGTGGGACGGGTGGGCGAGGGCATGTTGATTTGAATTGTCTATAAGCCGCTCTACGTTTGCCCATCGACTGCGGTATTTGAAGTGCCAAAAAGCGCACTTTGCCCATTGCTGTTGGCCTTTTCTTTACTCATTTTTTCTATATTCTATATAGTCTCTTTTTATCCAGTGTTGTCGAGTGCGCCTTTTAGTGAAAGGATTTATGCCCATCGCTGCTGGTGCTGCTGCTATTTGTTTAGCCGCTTAGTTTAGCATTTGCCATTGTTTTAGGCCAAATAAATTGTGGTGCGATTTGTGCGCGTTTGAACTTTTTGTGTAAGCCCGTATTTCATTTTTGTTTTGTTTTGTTTTTTTTTTTTTTTTGAACAGACACGGCTTGGCTTAGACTAAAGTTACCCCTTGCGATAGACTAATCTTTAAGAGAGTTCGATTATAAATTAAAAAATATGTGTTTTGAGGCTTGCACGTATTTTAATTTAATTTATTGAAATTTTTAAAATGTTATGTAAAATCAAAAGCAATATAAATGTTTTTATTTTTTTTTTTTTTAATTTTAGTAATAACCTTTAATCCCAACTTTGACTTTAACAAATTCCTTTAATACATATATTGATATAAATCTATATCTAATGAATCGGCAGCTTCGGAGCATCAGATTTTACTCCTTGGAGTCCTTTGGTTCCACGACAACCAAATGGCGAAACTTGTTGCGCAACCAGGCTCTATAGTCGATCTGCTCATCGGTTATATGAATAATGGAACCTAAAATGTGAGACAAACATTAGGATAGCATGACTAGGGGATACCTTGTAGTCGGGCAGTATTAGATTAAGTTATAGAACCTCTCTCTCCTATCTCTCTACATAATACAGGGAGCAAGCTCACTTACCCAATATAGAGAACCCAGTCCTGTGCTCGCAGACACATTCTGTAGCCTGGGCAAATAGTGCATCGCTGAGCACACGATAGGCCCACTGGAAAGTCCGTTTGATGTGACAAGTTGCAATGAAGCTGCTTGAGTTCTGCCGTCCCGGCAGCAGTGGATCGTCAATGTAGAACGAGGCACTCGGACAATCCAATATGTTCTGTTTGGGCACATAGCTACCGCCTTGCCATATGGAAATTCCAATTTGAGCGTAGTTAAAGCTCAGGCCATAGAGCTCGAAAAATTCGAGCAGAAGAACGCCCAGATTCGCAGTCTCCGGGTAATGTTGCCGCGGATGCATTTGCAGGAAGTTAATGCACATGATGGTCAGGTTATAGGAGGAGATGCCTCCACTGAAAGTGGTATTCAAATCGCGCTGTTGCAGAAACTGTTTGAGCACCAGCACCAGCTTGCTCAATATTGGATACTCTTGGAAAAACTTTTTGATCAGCTCCGTGGATCTAAGGCCATTCAACTCATTGAACGAGATATCGACTTTGATACGTGTTTCGCAATCCGTAAACCTGATGATCGGCACTGCAGCAGTGTCCACCACCTTCAGTGTTCCGGGCAACACAATGCCGCTGCTGCGGAGCTCCGATTCGAGGCTGCGCAGCGGCAGATGCTCCCAACTACCTGTGGAAATGATTATCGTTAGTCCGCTCATATGCAATGGGAATACCATTCCTCACCCAGCACCACCAGGTCTATGTCTGAGCTGGGCAAATAGATGCCAGGTAAAAATGATCCAAAGATCTCAACCTGCGCCTCTGGCCAAAGGCCTTGAATCAGTCTCTCAATGCGGCTGACCAGCTCGATTCGCGCTGCATGCTCCGTTGGCGTGGGCAGCGTATAACTGGAGAAGTGCTCGATTTCCTCATGAAGTCCAATAATACCAACGCCGTAATTGTAGCTTGATTGTCGCCACGGATAACCACCATATTTGCGTGTTGCTTGCATCTTCCAATTGAAAGCTAATCCCAAGAAACTGTCAGCAGTTGCTGCAGCGTTGCCACCTGCGGCAGAAATATGTGGAACATATGGAATGGCACGCGTGGCACGATTAAGCACGAGTATATGCAGCAGTATAATTAAAATTGTTATTCATTGAAACAATGTGTGTTGTGTAGATAGAAAAAAAAAACAATGTCTATGCTCGTGATTTAATTTATAATTATTATTATTTTTAATTATAATTTTACTATTTACATATTCACATCGTAAGAAAATCGTGATGCATTGAGTTTCAACACATCACTATATTAGTATCGTATGCTGATATGAAAGAGGGAGAGAGAGAGAGAGTGAGTTTGTATATGTGAATGGTATATAATTCAGTGTTGCCAGCTTAGCCTATTTCATAGTCCATCTCTCTTAACGTCTGTATGTCTGCCTAACTATAGAAGATCATCTAAGTTGTTATATGCATATCTGTATGTATATGTATGTATTCATTTGGTATTTATATCTGAGTAAAGCGAAGCTGTAATGCCTGAAGCAGAGGAGACTGACCATTGTTCCCATTGCTCACTCAATGCTTGACTGCAACGATCTCTACCTGGCGTCGGGCTCAACATTTGAGAGCGACTAGTATGTGTTACAGTGACAGTTGCCCTATATATAGGGCAGCGGCTGCAGCATTTCTTCAGTGGGGGCCAGTCGAGCAATGCAGTGAAGTGAAGTGAAGTGAGGAAATACTTAAAGGAAATATTAAAGGAAATACTGAGAGGGAATACTTACAGGGTATACTTAGAGGGTATACTTAGAGGGATTACTTAGAGGGAACACTTAGAGGGAATATTTAAAGGAAATACTTTGAATACATACTTAGAAGAAATACTTGGAGGAAATACATAGAGCAAATACTTTGAGAATATATGTATTTTTAGGAAATTATAGTTTTTGTTTAGTTTTATTATAATGCTTTTAAGAGAGGAATAACTGCATGAAAACAAACCCAATTTTATATACATATATTTTTCAGTATTCTATATAATCAACTTAAAGTTCATTGTACACTTAACCCCAATGTTAAGTACTTTAGAAAAATATTTAAACAGATGACGCTTAAGCAGGAGTCATTCACTAATTGCTGCTTAAAATGCCAATCAATTACATAAAACACCATATGAGTCAACATTTAGCTCGTAATTATAATAATTGCTGTGGCAAGTAAAAGCCCAAAATACAAAAATGTATGTAGGCAATAATAAACAACAGCAGCAGGAAGCCCAAAAGGTAGAAATTCAAAAAAAGAAAAGATTTTACCAGCTATTGTCTCAGGCACGCGACAGGGTGACTCTAGGGATTTCGCATGAATGTAATGCCCACGGCCACGCCCTCCCACACACAGTCGCACTCACATGGAAGTAAACGGCTGAGCAACGGATTTGAACACCCGAAAAAACTTCATTACAGCCTCCAACATTGAGAGATGACTTAATCAAAGTTGGATTATCTGCAATGCAGCCGAAGCCCGGTAAACATTTGAGAGGAGGCATGGAATTCTCATTTGCTCGCCAGCTGGATTGGGTTGGGTTGGGTTGGGTTGGGTTTATTTTCCCTTGTATGGCTTTCATTTGAATTAAAAAGCGCTAGGCAAGTTTGACAGATTTTTGCAACAGCATGGGGCCATTTGGCACACATCTAAGGCAGATGCGAAGCCAAAAAAAAAAAAAAATAAAAATGTGGCAAGAAGAAGAAAGTCTGGCCGGCTCAGCTGAACTAAATTAAATTCCATGTCTAATACTCGCACAAGGATTAGGACAAACAACGCCTCATCGCCTTTAGATGGGTAATATTAAATAATTTTTCCACACTTACACACAGACACACAGGAAGGACTCCCAGGACACATATGCCATGAATTCGTTCATTGTTTTGCATCGAGTCGAGCAAGCAGCAGCAGCAGAAGCAGCTCTCATAGCCACAGATTAAAGTCTCCCGTGGTGAACTTAATATAAAAGCAAAGGACGAGCCTGGCCAGGACAACGGCCATAGAGTATTTCCAGCTAGCTGAAGCGCTCAGCGCCAAATCTTTTTTCGAGTGCGAGACATTAGCAGCATTAGAACAACAACAACAACAACAACAACAACACAGCAGCAATAGCAGCAAGAAGCATATATGTATATGTACATATATATATAGTTAGGAACAAGGACTTACTGCAGCCTCAACTTCCTCCCCTTAACAAATGCAAAAAGCTGGGCAGACCAAAGAGCGCCAAAATAATCAAAGGACTTAAGTCGGCTCAGCCGTTGAAAAGCGACGCAGATTCTTTTTTTTTTTTTTTGACCACAGTCGAACCGGCAAATATATGTATATATGTGGATAGAGAGAGAGAGAGAGAGAGAGAGAGAGAAGACGAAGCAGTAGCAACACCACTGCAGTGGTGCTAAGTTTGAGCTGCGCTCATTTGTGGTGTCAGTTGCTGCATTATCAGCCATAACTGTTTCGAGTTTAGGAAATGGGGGACAGCTTAA